GTGGGGACAGTGTGGCAGTGACAGAGTCCTGCTGGTGTGTCACTGACTCACTGACAGTGGGAACCCGTGGCTGCTCTTCCTCTCCCTGTGGTTTCCTCAAAAGCAGTTCCTGTCAGCGAGAGGGACCCCGGGAGAGGGACAAGGAGCCCTTCCTTGGCTGTATCCCTGGCCCTGGATGTCACCAACAACCTTTAGTGTTTAAATAAAAGCCCTTCAGCCTTTAGGAACAGGGCTGGGAGAGTTGTCCTCATGGCATGGGCATTCCAGCCGAGTGTGCAGCCATGTGACAGCAAGGGATGGAGGGACAGTGGTGGCAGCAGGACTGCTGCTCCATGGGCTAATGGGATTCTCAGCACTGTGGGTCCCAGCTCCTGTGGGATCACAGGAATTGGGGTGAGGCTCTCAGGGCAGCATCAGCAGTTCTTGTCCTTCACCTGTGCTTGGTTTGGGTGGCCTTTGTGGGTCATTCCTGCCATCCTGGGCTCCTGGTGCTCACCTCCTGGGAAGGTGCGCATGGCAGGATGGTCTGGGCTGAGACCTGGACTCTGGAATTTAATAACAATCCTGCCAGTGCTTATCAATACAAGCTCCCTGGGCTTGTGTGGGGCTGTGACGCCCATGGGGCAGGGGGAACACTGTGCCAAAGTGTCCCCCAGCCCCTTGTGAGGACAGCAGGCCCCGTGCCAGTGGTGCTGCAGGTGCCACCGAGGGCGAGCCCAGCTCTGGGGAGATTCCCAAGGCCCCCCATCCAGTCATGGAGTGGGCCCACCCCTGCTCACAGCAACGCTGCTGGAGGAGACTGTTGTGTCTGTTGTTTGGAAACCCAGAGAAAATAGTCAGGAGAGCCAAGTGCTGATTTTTCCAGTCACAGAGGAGCACCCAGACTAGCAGGAAAAAACGCTGCATGCTGAATTCCTATCTTGGGATGCACGGCTTGGGGCTGCTTCCCTGCCAAGCCCAGCCTAATTACAGATGATTAAGGAAACACACGTATTTGGTGACTATGCCAGGGAATTTCTGATAGAAAGGAGGGTCTGGGGTTAGAAAATGGCCCAACTGGGAAAAAGAGCCTTTTGTGCCCAAGGAGGGAGTTTTGCTGTGTCTCCATAAGGAGGCCTCAGCATGTCAGTCCCTCTCTGGGCTCCAGGAGTTACAGGATCTGATTTGATTTCCTTCCTTGCTGTGGTTCACATCTCCCACTTTTTTGCAGAGGAGGTTTCAGTGGGAACAAAATTCAAAGTCTGTGTAAAACATTTCCACTGCCCCTGTGCCTCTGGGAACGTGTAACCACTGTCCCCACGTGGGGACACCGGCAGGGTGGGGGGTGGCTGGGCCAGCTCTGCCTGGGTGGCCCTGGGCCCTGGTGTGTGCTGGGGGACCCTGGTGTGTGCTGGGGGACCCTGGTGTGTGCTGGGGGACCCTGACTCTCCTCTGCTTTCTGCCTTGCAGCAGAAGAAGTCGTACCTGGAGCGGAGTGTGAAGGAAGCAGAGGACAATATCCGGGAGATGCTGATGGCCCGCAGGGCACAGTAGTGGCACCCCTGGGTGCCCTGGGCTGATCCCCACAGCCTGCCCCCTCCTTCCCCACCTCAATAAAACTCGTGTCTCTCTGGCTGCTCTCCCAGGGGGGTGTGGTGGGATTTGGGGTGAGGGGCCTGCAGGGAATCCTGCTGCCCTGGAGCAGCTGTACCCTCGTCCTGCAGACACCCCCTGAGTGCTGCCCAGAGTGGGCACCAGGGGAGGCTGGTGGAGGGGTCCTGCTGGAGAGCGGTGGTGGGGGGAAGAGGGAGGCTGGGAGGGCTGGCACAGACACAGACACGGGCATGGACATGGGCATGGGCATGGGCACAGACATGGGCATGGAACACGGACATGAACATGGGCCCAGCCAGCCCGTGCTGGGTGGTCATTCCCACTGTCCCGGGCCATTTCTGCTGTCCTGGGCCATTCCAATTCTCCTGGGCCGGTCCAGCTGTCCCGGTCATTCCTGCTGTCTCAGGCCATTCCCACTGTCCTGGGCCATTCCCTCTCTCCTGGGTCATTCCCACTCTCCCGGGCCATTCCCACTCTCCCGTGTCATTCCTGCTGTCCCAGTCATTCCTGCTCTCCCGTGCCTTTCCCTCTCTCCCAGGTCATTCCTGCTGTCCTGATCATTCCCACTGTCCCATGCCATTCCCACTGTCCCGTGTCATTCCCAGTGTCCAAGGCCATTCCCGCTGTCCCGTGTCATTCCCTCTCTCCCGTGTCATTCCCAGTGTCCCAGGCCATTCCTGCTGTCCCTTGTCATTCCCTCTCTCCCGACCATTCCCGCTGTCCCATGTCATTCCCTCTCTCCCGTGTCATTCCCAGTGTCCCAGGCCATTCCCTCTCTCCCGTGTCATTCCCAGTGTCCCAGGCCATTCCCGCTGTCCCGTGTCATTCCCAGTGTCCCAGGCCATTCCCGCTGTCCCGTGTTATTCCCTCTCTCCCGTGTCATTCCCTCTCTCCCGGACATTCCCGCTGTCCCGTGTCATTCCCTCTCTCCCGGCCATTCCCTCTCTCCCGGCCATTCCCTCTGTCCCGTGTCATTCCCAGTGTCCCAGGCCATTCCCTGTCTCCCGGCCATTCCCTCTGTCCCGGTCGCTCCTCACGCCCCGGCGCGAGGGGACATCGCCACCGTGTGGCCCCTGCGGGAACTGCACCGGCCCGGCCCCCGCCCGCTCCTCCCGGGATCTTGGAGCCGGGCAGGAGTTTCCCGGTCCTGTGCCGACCCCCGTGCTCTCATCCCACGGGCACGCGGGTGCTGCCACACTCTCGGGCGGCCTTTCGCTGCCCCCGGGTTCCCAAACCACCAGCTGTGTCACCAGCGGGTCCCGTGTCGCCTCCGCCGGTGATCCCACGGCTGCCCCACGGACACGGGGCCGCTCCCCCCCCCGGTGCTCTCACACCCTGCAGACACACGGGCAGGGAGGGAGACCCATGCGGGAGAGTGTTTAGGAGGAATTCGATAAGCTCAGACAGACCGGGGGGATCAGGTGCTGCACAAGAGCAATGACCAGGGGGTCACCAACACCCTGCTGGGCCCCACACCTCACTGCTTTCCCACACTTCCTCTAAAAATCACCTGCACCTTCGGGGCCTCCCTGAAGCATCCCATAACAAGTCCTGTGCAATCCCAAACAGTTCGCATCCAAGTAAGTGTCCCACTCCCAGGTATCAGCCCTGTAACCCCAAAGGTGATCTGGGGGCTGCCCCGGGATGGGTTGTAGGCTGGACACGGGGCTGCAGCTCTGTGGGGACAGGCCTGGGAAAGGCCCTGGACAAGGCATCTTGGCTGGGTTCCCGCCTGCATGTGCCCATGGGCTCTGCCAGGGCTGGGGGTGGGCCTGTGAGGGGCTGGTGGGGCTGGGAGACCCCTGGCTGGGCTGTGGGTGGGCTCCCTTCCCAGGGGGACTCTGAGCTCCTGTGTGTGTGCAGACCTGCTTCATCCCATCGCCCACTGTGAGCAGCCACATCTGCCGCTTCCCAACCTCGGCTTCTGTGTGTCCTGGTGTCTCTTCCAGGTGCTGGGGTGGGCAAACAGGTGGGCCCTGGGCCAGGTTGTCCCCATTTGGGTTGCAGGGCGTAGGCCTGGCCAGGTGGGTCAGCCCCTGTCTGGTGCAGTGGCCAGAGACTCCCCGCTGCAGAGGCTGCCAGAGCTGCACCCACTGCCCTGCCATGGCACTGGGATGGGGAAGGGGTGCCCAGGCCCACTGGGGAGCCCAGGCAGCTGGTGTGCTGGGACCTGGGGTGGCCCTTGCTGCTGGAGCATGGGAGATGTGACGTGCCCTGCCTGTCCCCAAGGACGGGCACTGTGGCACCCAGAGTGCTGCTGCAGCCACTTGGTTGGTGTCTGGGACAGGTGCCAGAGCAGGAAAACCGAGTCCTCACCCCCTCCCCTGCTGGGAGCAGCTCCTGCTGCACCCAAGACAGGGCAAGGAGCTGAGGGGAGTGTGCAGGGCTGAGGCTCCCTCAGGCCTGGCAGGGACAGAGCCATTCCCTTGGCTGGGAAGAGCCAAAACCAGTCTAGGGGGGGAGCACAGGGCTGGAGGGGGCATGGAGGGCCATGGGCACAGGGTAACCAAACACTCCACTTCCCTCCCACCCACAGAGGAGGGTGAGCCAGGGACTCCCCTCCTGTGCCCCTGCAGCTGCCAAGCTGCCAGGGAGGTGACAGTGACAGGGAAGGTGACAGCACCCATTCCTGGGAGCTCTGGGAACCCAGCCACAGAGCTGAGCTTAGGGCAGCAGGGGGGCAGGCAAGGGGCATTAAGGCTCCTGGGGCAGGCAGCTGCCAGGGGCTCTCATCAACCCCAAACCCCAGACCAGAGCCCCAAACTTGCACTGCTGAGCTCTGAGCTGAGGTGCACAGAGCACCAGGGCCATCCGAGGGACAGCGAGGGCAGTGCCCTTTGCAAACAGATCCAAGATCCCTGGGCATTCTCCAGGCACTGCAAAGCAAAGCTGGTGAGTGCATCAGGTTTGGTCCCAAGGCTGGGGGGGCAGCGGGATGCGAATCCCTGGGATCAGTAGCAGGTTTTCCCCCTTTTCTGCAGACAAAAGCTTTTTATCCCTCTTCTGGCCAGGCGTGCCATGGAACAGCTTCAGCTCTAAATCTTCTGCACTAAATTAATCCATGGCCTTGTATCTTCTTATCCATTAATTTACCCCCTGCAAGCCTCTGCTCTGCATCAGGGGATGATGGATCACAGCTTGGGATCAGTCCTTCCCCAAGAGCTGCAGCAGCTCAGCCTGTGCTTCTCCAGGAGCTGCTGGAGAGGGCGCTGGTCCCAGAAGGGGATGTGCCCGTTCAGCCCCGAGGGATGAAAAGCCAATTGTGCTGCCCTGTGTGGGATGAGGGGGTTGGAGGTGCCAGACCCAGGACTCCCACCTGCAGAGCCAGTGCCCGTGGGGGGCTGAGGACACACAGCACCAGGGGACACTGACCCTGCACAGACAGACTGACTGAAACAGCCGGGACCTAGCGAAGAAAATCAACTGTTGGCTTTAATTATTGCGTATGTCTTCGTCTCTAGGGCTAGGAAAATCTCAACTGGTAAATATACATTTCATCAGAATGCCTTTGGCTGAAATACACCATCAGCACATTCTTCAAAGTTACAACAAAAGTCTTAGAAATGTTAAAAAGGGATTTTTTTTTCTCCTTTCCTCCTTTTCCTTTACTAAAATAAAGGAGTTGCACCCCCCCACCCCCGACAAGGCGCTAGGACGGACAGACGGGAACCTCTTGGCTGTGCAAAGCAGAGCAGTTGATTACAGTAACAGAAAGAAGAAGTCGGGGGGCAGGAGTGGGGAGGCTGCATAGCGCTCTGCGGGCGGCGGGCGGCTCAGGTCAGCATGTCCCAGAGGCAGCAGCAGCACAGCGCGGTCCAGCAGGCTGTCAGGCAGGCGCTCTCGCCCGTGTCGTCCCTCCGCCGCTCCTCCACGACGTACACTGCGGGCACAGAGGGGCACAGAGGGGCCGGGTCAGTCACACGGTAACCACGGAGAGGAACAAGAGCCACGCGGAGTTCTCCCAGGAGGTGCCACCCTCCCCCAGCTGCAAATGTGTCTGGACTGGAGGGAGGAGCTGGTGCCTGACTCTGCTCCAGCCCTGCCACACACACACAGCTGCCTCTCCCCCTGGATGACCAGCCCTTGCTCCAGCTCTGCCCCTCCTGCACCTGAGGCACAGCTCAGGAGGTGGCGGTGCTGGGACACCCCGCTGGCCAAGGGGTGAGTGCCCAAACGCCCTGGGTGTCACCTCATGGACAGACACCACCCCAGCTCTGCCCCCGAGGGCTGCCCGGAGGCTCCCAGCAGTCCACTGGGATTTCCTGCACTCTGCCAGCTACCTGAGCACACAGGAGGGAGCTCCAGGTTTGGATGGAGCTCTCTCAGCAGGGTCTCCTACCTGAGGCCAGTGTGCTGCCTGCTCTTTGTGCCAGGCCCTGAGGCCCATTCTGGACAGAGGAGCAGTTCACCTTTGGTTCCTCCTCACTGAGCCTGGGCTTTCACACCTAGAGTTGTGGCAATCTGAGGGCAGGCAGGTGATTTGCCTTCCTGACAACTTCCTTGGGTCTGTTTGTTGTGGTCTGCATGGAAAACGTGCCCTCACACAGGAGTCCAACCTGCACACATGGTGGTGGCAGGAGACAGCTCACGGCATCAGCCTGGCCCTCCCACAGGCCTGCTTTGTGCTCAGGAAACCATTCCCTGTCACTGCTCCAGCTCTGCAGAGCCATGGGCACAATGACCCTCCAGCTCACACGTTGCCAAAACCCTGACAGCACCAGGTGGGGAAGAGAGAGGGACAGCCCAGTACCCCCAAATGTCTGCCCTCGGGTCCAGCCTGTGCCCCAGCCCCAGGCAGTCTCCCTTTCACCAACGGGAATAACAGAGGGGGCATCTGCTGTGCAGGCACAGCCCCACTGCCTGTTCTCCATGGGGAGGTGACCCAGGGGCTCAGCCTGGGCTTTTTTTTTTCCCTGGTGGATCCAGGAGCTCTGAACAAGCAGCTCTTTAGTGCCTTTGTTTGCTCTGAGAAGGTCCTGTTACAAAGAGTGGAGGGAAAACACACCCCAAATGCTCTGAGAGCCCTGTGCAAGATGGTGACATCCCTGTGCTGGAGCCCTGAGGCAGCCCTGGCTTCCAGCTGGCTGCCAGGTGCTGTTCAAGCTGTCCCACCTCTGAGCCATAGGAAGTTGCATTGTTGCTGCCAGAGCACTGCCATGTCCAAAACCGAAGGTCCCAGTGCCCAGAGACATCCAGACCCACACAGCCCTGTCCAAAACTGAGGGTCCCAGTGCCCAGAGACATCCAGACCCACACAGCCCTGTCCAAAACTGAGGGTCCCAGTGCCCAGAGACATCCAGACCCACACAGCCATACCCAAAACCAAGGGTCCCACTGCCCAGAGACATCCAGACCCACACAGCCATACCCAAAACCAAGGGTCCCACTGCCCAGAGACATCCAGACCCACACAGCAGAAGGGAGGCTGCCCTGTGCCAGTTACCATCAGCTGTCCAGGACTGCAGGCACACCAGAGCATTTGCCTGAAGTATTTATGATTAATCCATTAGAAGTTTTAAGCTACAGTCAAATGTCAGGGACATGCCGACAAAGCATGTTCAAGGCGTGTACAAAGTGCTGTTATGAAACACTTGCTGAAATATTAAAGGAAATGGCTTTTCCAGGCTCAGGGCTGTGCAGTGGGAGCCGGGTGCTCTCACCACGGCGGCTCAGCTGACTCGTGTTGGACGCTGCCTCTCTGCACAAGTGGGTCACAGCATCCACGGGCATCCCCCCCTGCCCTGCCAGCCCTCCAGCACCTCTGCTGTGGCTTGTGCTGGAAAAGGCTGCCCTGAGCTGGCCAAGGCACAGGCACAGCTGGGGGCAAGACTGGGACAGGGCAGGGGACAGCAGCCGTGTCAACGCCTTCCCAGGACTCACCGTAAGTTTGGGATGTGCCTTTCTGTCAGAAACAGTGGAACAGCACTGAAAAGAGATTGTGTTCATTCCCTCTCTTCTGCTAAAAGCTGGAAGTCATTTAAACCAGCAGCACGTTGTGGCACAAGCATCTGCAAAAAAGCTGTGTTTTTCTCCATGGAGAGGGGCTGTTGTACTTTACCCAACCCACTCACCTCTCAAGTTCAAGGAATGCCTCAAAGACAACACCTGAAATACAAGTCTCTGCCTTCCAGAGCAGAGCTCCTCTTCAGACAGAGCAAGTCTCGAGGGGGAGCTGGAGCAACTACTGCTGTGCTCTGAGAGCACACACCATCAACCACTGGAAGCTTTCAGACCTGGAGAGCATCTGGGCAAGACTCTGAATAGAAACAACCACACATCCCTCTCAATTTGTGTTTAATAAAGCTTTCTCTGAAGCCTCATCAATGCTTCAGGAGCTGCATGTCCCACTCCAATTGCCAGAGAGACTTTAACCATAGTTATAGAGAATTAATACTGAAGAGCTTTTCTCTTCAACCCCTTGGGTGTGGGGCTTGCAGAGGAGAGGAGAGGAAGGGAGCAGAGCAGGTGAAGGGTGGTCCCCTGTTCACCTACAGCTACCAGAGTGCACAGAGTAAAAACCAGCTCCAAGGCAGGTTGGATGAACTGCTCCCAGCCCAGCCTCTCACTCGGCTGGAGACATCCTACACCAACCTGCTCATTTTGGACACTGCACCTGAATGTTGGCTTCAGAGCACCAACACAGCGACACAAGTACCCAAGGACATCAAGAGCACGTGGCAGCACCTTCACACAGTCCCTCAGCCCGTGCAGGAGTGCTTTATAAACACAGGGGATCCTCTGTCAACAGCACATGAAAGGACAGCGTAACAGCACCCCAAACCTCCTAAAATCATTCTGTTGGGAAGTCTTGCACTGCATGTTACTGATGCAAGTCACCCCACGGCTTCCCAACTCGCTGTAACCAGCAGGATTCCACTGACAGAGATCAGGTTTCCTACTGGAACAGCTTTGCCAACAAAACCCCATCCAAAATCTGCCAGCGAAGGGAACTGCAGATTTTGTGTGATTCTTGTCAGAAGCCCGAGTGCCTCCAAGCTAAAGACACCCAGTTTGCTGTGGGGAGCTGTACTGGGGACTCCATCAGCTGCTCTGTACCTCTCTTTTGCCCAAGGCCAGGCACTCCAACCATCTCCAGGCACACAGGGTCCTCACCACTATGAGCAGAATCCCAATAACCCTTTGGACCTGGTGGTCCCAAAGATGCAAAACGGGGGCGATTTCTCTCAGAGGCACTCTGAGACAGCACTCAGTTCTAGCCTCAAGTTTTGATGCTTCCATTGCTTTTTTTCTAAAACAGGATGGGAGAGGGTATAAGCTGAGAACACCCTCGCACCTTCTAATCAGTCTTAAAGAGCCTAGACCACAATGAATCACCCCGAAATGGTAGCACTCCCTGTAATCACACAGCACTGGCCTGCACAATCCAGTGCAAATAACTCCCACTTTGTTTTTAAAACAAATACTACAATACCTTCTCATTTCATGTACAGTCTGCTTTATCTTAAGCATACACATTTTGTTTCTTCTCATGCCTAATTGATATGTTAATCATTAGCTCCATGAGGGAAAGGAATGAGCTGTGCTTTTCACCTGGTTTGGTATAAACTAAAATTATGACCTTAAACTGCAGTGCCCCTTTACTGCAGTGCTTCACTGGGTCTATAAGGATTGCAGCACAAGGGCTTTGATGCCAGAGCCAGCCCATCCCAGCCCAGCCCATCCCATCCCAGGGTCTGGAGCACATGAGAGGAGGCAGCAGCAAAGGAGTTACCAACCACTGCCACTGCAGACCAAAAACCCTTCCCGTGGTATCTGAGTGGCTGTTTGCCATGGTAACAGCTGGGCAGAAGCATTACTTAACACCACAGGCTCGTCTGGGAGGGAGCACACAGCAGAGGAGGGACCCATAAGCCTTTTCCCACTTGTCACTTAAGGAGGTTTTATCACAAACCACTTCTGTACTGAGAGCTTTGTTTTCACTTCTCCAGCCAGCCAGCAAGTCTTGCTTAAAACTGCTTAAAACAACACCATCGACACAAGCCCTTGGAAAGCCCTTTTGTCCAGGATGGAGGCCAGAGAAAGGAAAGCCAGCACAAGTGCACCCAAGGGATGCAGCAGTGACAGGAAATCAAGTGTCCTCGAGCCCCTCTTCCAGGGGCACTCTCTGGGTTTGCAGCCCAGCGCTGCAGGAGGAAGGAACTCTAAGCCCTGACCTCCCAGACAGCCACATCTCCTAGAGTAAACCCCACACACAGCCAGCACGTGCAGAAGAAGACACTGCAGGGCTGGGAACAGGGACTAAAGTTTTATCCGCCCCAGGCCTCCTCCCTTGCCCATTAGAACTCCAGGCACAGCCTGGGCACAGATGAGATCCAATTCTCTTGGCAAGGAAGGCATTTAATTGTTCTTTCTCCTCTCTGGGGGTATTTGCTCATGCTTAACAGCTTCAGGCCTGTAATTTCTTGGCCCCCCAACTCCTTCCTGCCCAGAGGCTTTCACTGTGCTCACAGTCTCCACCAACACCACACTCAGATTTCAGGAAATACCTTAGCACACTCCTGAAACAGATACCACAGCCAGATGGAAATACAATAGCCCACTTTCAAGAAAAAAATCTTCCAAGGCTCTCAAAGCAAGTTTCACAACCCCCAGCTCCAAAACCAAACTGCTACTGCCAGAGCCTCCCGAGCAGAAACCAAGTGTCACGAGAGCAAACTGCCAGCGAGCACAGACAGCTCCACCTGCAAATCCCCTCTGCCACCAGACAGCTGCTGCTGACCCAGCCCTGATTTCAGCCTGGCTCGAGCAGAAACAACTGATCTACAACTACCCACACTGGTATTGGACCTGCCCTCCTCCGTGGCCGCACGCTGATGTCCAGCAGGTTAAGAAAATTCCTGCCTTTCCATTCCCGTAAGT